ATTATTATTGTTATTATTATTATTATTATTATTATTATTGTTATTATTATTATTATTTATTATTATTATTTCTTCTGGAAAAGGTGGTTAAAATAGATTTTAAATTTTCCTTATTGAACAACTTGAAATTTTTCCCTGAATAAAAAAACAATTTCTATATTAACGTTTTATTTCTGAAAATATTCATTGTTTAGTCAAAAACAAATTGCTTCTTGCTAGCAAATTACTCAGTTTTCTTAAATGATTATGTGATTTCCGAGTACCACCTTCAATACGAGCTGCTACATATTGTGAAGGTGTGAGACATGGTTCAATCGATCTCTGGAAAATGCTTTTTGATTTTTATAAAAAGGAAAGAGCACAGGTAGAACAGCATTTCTTGTTGCTTGCATTATCGTGTACCTCCGATACTACCATATTGAAAGTGTAAGTTCTTTATTTAGTATATTCCAAGGAGAATTTGCAATTTCTTATGAATTATATGAAATTCAACGCTCGTTGAAAAAGTGATGGTATTTGTATGAAGTGAGTGCAACCATAATTAATTTTCCTTTTCTACAGTTTACTTCAAATAGCATCTGATTCGCGATCGTATGTCATCCGTAAGCAAGACGTAACCACACTGTTTGGTAATATTGGAAATAACTATATTGGAAGACAATTTTTGTTCTTCTACTTTCTTGAAAATTGGTCGAGTATCGTCGAAAAGTATGCATTTATTTTTTTTCATCGTTTTCTCCGTAATATTTTGTAATTTTTGATTTCTAATTAACACTGCAAAGGGTTGTTGAACTGCAATGCATGAAAGAACAAGAAATAATTTCTATAAGAGTAGCTTTCGGTGATCTGCTTGTTCTATTGTAAATTCACCATACATTTGCTTACCAACTGCAGTTTGTTATTTTTGTAAAAGCAGTGTGCAATCCTGCATACAATAGCCATATTTCCGTTAAATACACCCAGTAAAAATTTCCATCGAGTACTGTAACTAACAGTAATCCTTTAAAAAAGCGCTTCAAACATCAATTTCATCTTCAAATCACAGTAGTTGAATAAATGAGACTTTGACAAAATTGCTGCTTACTTTCTAATTCTCTCATTTGTTTTTTTCGTTTCATACCACCATTACTATCTATTTATGCCATTCTCTCTATCGAATCCACAATATACTCAGTATTAACTCCAGAAATTTAAAAATGGATGCATGGATTTTAAAAATATAATTGAAACCAGAAAATCAAAAACCTACTTTTTCTTTTAATGCATGCTACTGTTAGGATATAAATTTTGATGAAAGTTTTAATAATATCACACTACAACAATGTAATGTTTATTAATAGTTTTGGTAGATAGCAATTTGCAACAAACTGATTAAATATGATCAGATTTTTGTAGTCTTGGAAAATACCATGTGTTATTACGAAGTGTAATTAAAAGCGCAACTTTTATCAAAACTCAGCGCGAGATCGAAAAGGTCTGTGGTCCTCTACATTATTTTGATAATAATAATGTTCGTATTCGTATTAATTCATGATTATTGTGAATATAGGGATTATGCTAATGAGAGCAATATTACTCTCATCAAAACAATCATTGTTGCATAAACATAATGGTAATAATTCATCAATAATAAATAAATAAATAATAACAGATAGTGATGAATGCAAAAAGAAGAAGATTAACTTCCATGTGATATTAATTTGATAGTAAGAAATACCTTTGGTAGTAAATAATAACAGTGATAGCCTTGTTGTTATCACATTCATTGGCAGTTCTTTTCTTGTATTACTTTTGTTCATTTATTGTAAAAGGTTGAAAAATCTTCAGCTCGAAGTCTTCATGAACAAACACGTCAATGAAACAAAAAAGCTGGACGTTTTCAAGGTACAGTTAGATGCCGCGAATGTAAATAAAGTTAGTTTTTCAGTAGGTAAACGTGCTGTAAAAGCAAAATAACTTTTTGCAGAATGTAAGTCGTAACATCAATTTACATTATTTATTACAATTATTTTCCGCTACCAAAAATTGATATCAATAGAATATTTTAAGGAAAATATTTACATATATTTTCGCCGAATCAGTTATTACTAGATCAGTTTATTTTTATTTAGATACGAGGAATAAGTACTATATATGCATACCTAATGAAATTTCAGGCCTGGATGGATCGTAATTTTTTAATGCTGGTTCAATGGTTCAAAAAACAAAGTTACAAGCACAATTGACTTGACCACAGCTGAGATACTGAAAGATAGTTGGTGAAATATCCATTAGTACTAATATTGGAAATTGAAGACGAGAAAAATTATTTTTGACTAAAACTGATGATATTCGTAGCTTAGTATAGTCATATTCTATGCTAAAATGTGTGCGAATAAAGATGAAATATATATATATATACTGCAACAAATTTATAATTTCTCATTTTACAAGATTGATAAAAGTTTTTATTGCTGCACTCACTTCATTCAGTATAGCTTTTACAAATTCACCGATATTGATTCACCGATATTGATTGTTGTTTGTATTAATATGTAAATATTAATTTAAAAATATGACGGGTATGACATTTTTTTACAATGCTTTTTGTGTAAAAAAAAATCTTTTTAGTAATATGCACACCCATCTAAATAAAATTCGTTTATATAGTATACATTAAAATTGACATAAAAATACTTTTTTTTTTCTTGATTTGAAAGAAGAGAAACCTGATCGCTATATTTGATACTTAAATTCAATAAAATTATAATCAGTCCAGCATGCAGTAATAAGAGAGAAACAACAATAATTTGCTTTTAAATTAAAAGATAGGAACCAAGAAAAACAAATCAGAAGTAAAACAGACGTTGGATGTGAAAAAAATATTATTTTTCAAGGATAAGTATGATTCATAAAAACGATAATTCATAATATCACGCGATCTTTCTGGAGCATTAGCTATAACAAAACTCCGTTTAAAGGTATGACAAATTGCGAAAGATATCTGAGTAACTCAAATTGGTCCTGTGAATTGGCATATATCCGTTAGAAGTAGTACTCTCACATATACAATTATTCATGCAAAAGCTTTCCATCTTCGAATTTGCCGTGGGCTAAAGGAAACTTACCAGCACCTGAAAGAAGTTAGGTTAGTTATTAAACTCCTGTAACACTTTCTGAAAATCTACGAATTAGAACAGATTGTTTTTTCTATTCATTATTTTGGGCACATAGCGAAAATTGAAAAGAATGCAATTATTTGCAGTTGACTTGAATGTCAGTATCAGTTCCAGTTTTTGATCGCAAATGAGTGGATGGATTTACAATACCGCAGATATCAGATATTTAGCAGATAGGAAGTTTATGTAGTTTGGATGTCCATCCTTCTAAATATGTAACTGAAGAAGAGTTGATAATAGTTTTGCATAATTACCATGTTCAAATTTTCACTAAGGAAAATGTTAATGTAGTTTGGAGAAATTGTAAAATAACTTTTTTTTTGTCTTTCGTTATTTTATATCTACATTAGCAGTAAATAAGAAGTAAAATAATCTTTCTGCTTATTTGTTACAAGTGCTTCAGAATTTCACGTCATGTTGAAAACACTGAAAACATTTTTAATCCTTGATTAATGACAAAAGTGCGAGAATCAGCTCTAAAATATCAATAATCAGCTCAATCCACATGAAAAAAAAATCATGTTTCAAACTTGTTTTAGCGTGCGGTGAAGTAAATACGTTCAAAGCTTTAAATTTCGGGAATTTTACTAATGGAACTGGTAACACTAACATTAGTGTTGTTAATGAATTTAAAAAGCTTATGAAACTTCCGTTAAACTGTTATTCTCGCAGACATATTCAGAAAACCTCGAAGAAGGGTGCTACTGTCAACTATACACTCAAAATTCTTTTTTATCTACTTAATTTTACATCGACATTTAATTACTGATCACTCTGAGTACCGAATAAAATCAAATGCAGTTTTTGGCAAAAGCTGTCCTATTTTCTTTGCAAATTGCTATTACGAATCTCCATCTCTATGCATGGTACTTACGATTTTTGTTGCAGTGGTTTCAGGACTATAGTCTTTTAATCTATCAAATTCAGAAAAATTTTTGGATTTCAAGCTTTTTTCAAATTTAAATTCGACAGAAATGATTTTAAACAATTAGAAATCTGGAATTTGCACTCTGCTTTATAATACTTGTATTTTAATTTAATTTTTTGAATCACAAAGGTTCTCATTTTTTTCTCCTTAAGCTTTTTGCAATATTTAGTACATCATTCCTCTAAAATACTTTGTAGTTAGTATAAATTCATTCACAGTTTAATTTTTTGGATTTATGATTTATTCTTAATTATATGCAGCGTTTTGTTCAACAAACTGAAAGGAAGTTCAGTTGCTGGCTGGCACGATGTTATGGATTTTTTTTTTTAAACAGGATAATTATCGCAATATGTGCATATCTGAATTCTATAGTGCACTATTTTAGAAAATCCTTATACTTACTAGATTGTAAAATTTTTTAAAATATTCACTTAAATATATTTCGCTGGACTAGCTTCAAAATATAACTGTTTTAATTTCGTCGATTTTATCTGTTCAAATTGCGCGCTCTTTCCCTGTTGACATAGGTTTATAGCAATCAGTCACTCACTGCAAGCGGTTACGGTACTTGCTTTAGGATTGACAGATTTGCAGTGAACCATATCATTTACATCAGTGCGTAAGGTTCGGTTCTCGTTGGTCTATGTTTGGCTGCTACTATTATGTGTGTGAGATTGGAGTGGTGTTCAATTTTTGTATCCAGCAACTTCTATTACTTCTTAATCATATAGGATGCATTTTTTTGACTTTTTATGTCAGTGTGAGTTAAATGTCAAACAAAATTCTTGCTTTGCGTTGGTATCAAGAAAAACTCCACTCTTTATTCCTTCCATAAATGCGCCAGTTGTGGTATATATGTGTATTATATATTTTCCTTTCTCCATTTGTTTACTATATTTTGTTAGTATTACGTTCGTCACGATAGCAAACTAGTATTGCCAAATGGCATCACACACAATGTTATTTCTCTTCTCTGATCTGAGCCAATTTGTTCATATATCACTTCGTAGCGAAAAGTTGGGAAGAAGCCTAGATTTAGTTAATGTAGATAAGAGTAGAATGGGATTGCTTTGATTGGTAGGATTCCACTAAATTGTTGCTTTCTCATTAAGGTTTGATAATTCGAGTTGTTTTAGAATCATGGATTTAATGTGTAAAGTAGTCATTACCCTGATATGAAATTTGTTCAGCTGTCCTTATTTGGTCTATGATGTGTATGTGCGTCAAGTCTTATGTTATTTAACTCCGCATATTGCATCCGTTCTATAAAATTTTTTTGTGTAATTGTTTCTTGGTATAGGCGTCAAAATATTTCTTAATCATTGTATTACAACCATTTTTTGCTAATTTGCTCAAGTTATACGTTCCCTAAATTATTAATATTGATGTGAATTATTTGAAAGAAGATATTGTGTACTTCAATAATTGTCTCATGTTTCTATATTCAAAGTTTTTGATTACATTTACCGTTGATTTATACTTTATTCGATTTCGATCTTCGAAAATTCTCATGTTGCGTTGATTTGTTCGTCTTGCATATTGTCTTAAGCACATATAAAATTTTCTTCAGTGGGCAATTCTGCATAGATTATGGCAGACCACGAGCACGATCATGACTTCCATACTGGAGATGCAGGCGCCGCAACAACATATCCAAAACAATGCTCTGCTCTTCGTAAAAATGAAAATGTAATGCTCAAAGGACGCCCATGCAAAGTACTTTTCATCTCATTATTTGGCTCATTTAGCACGTGTATCATAACCATGAATATTATGACTCTGTAGCAGTGGGAGGAAACCTTAGTATTTGGCAGTACTTCTGAAGTTATTACTTCTACTTATCATTGGTTTCTCGTTCATGGATTTTAATTGTACGAATACTCTAATGCTTAAAGATGATTCAGTCCAGATTATGTAATGCTGATTGTGTTTAGGGAGAAGATCAGCTAATATCTGGAGTGGAAATGTAGCACAATTAATCAATTAACTTTTATGTTCCCGCAGTTGAATTTTAGTTGCTTATTTTTGTCGATAAAATAATATTATTTAGGTTGTTGAGATGAGCACTTCAAAAACTGGTAAACATGGTCATGCTAAAGTTCATCTTGTTGGTTTAGATATTTTCACAGGAAAAAAACTGGAAGATATATGTCCGTCTACTCATAACATGGATGTTCCAGTTGTAAAGCGCAAGGAATATCAGGTGAAAGTATATTGTAGCTTTCTTCGTTTTTAGTAGTAGAAGACAGTAAGGATCGAAAATAAAAATTGACAGTATTGAAAAATCATTGACACTCCTAGAAATTTATTCATTCAAGTCAATAGTAACTTATTGAATAGTAATTTATTGAAGTTCAAACATCTCAAATACTGCCAGTGTAATCTCTTAGTTTCATTAATAGCGCTTTCAGCTTCTCTCTATAAATGACGATTCCTATGTCAGCTTAATGGATCTGGATACCTGTGAAACAAAAGATGACTTAAGATTGCCTGAAGGTGATTTGGGAGAGCAAATCAAACAAGCCTATGAAAGAGATGAAAATGGGATACTGGTTAGTTTGTCTTTTACGGAAATACTTCGAACTGTTCAAGACTATAGAAACCGAGATTCTCCATCCTGATTACTATTTACAGTGCCTCGTTGTTACGGCCTGTGGCGAAGAGGCAATACTTGGTTACAAGAATATGCCAAATAAGGATGAGAAATAAAAGCCTTCAACGGCCGGTGCTCAGAGCCGTCCCTGCCATCACTTTGATTTGGTGATATCACCTATGCTTAATTCTTTTCTTGACCATGCATTATAGCGACAACTATTTGTTGCTCGATTTTGGTCAGTCTGACCCTAAACCATCGTAATCGTATATTAGCTCTACTCACCGCTGGGTTGTGTAACCATTAATCATTTAGTGTATTTTCATTAATTACGTTGTCAGATGTGTTGCCTTTACCTTCATCAAAATGCATGGGACAGGCAGGCGTCTTGTTTCAACTATTTCTGCTTTCAAGTTTTCCGGCTTTTTGGCAGTTTAAAAAAAGATTGTTTTGTTGAATAAACTCTAAAGTACGTTACATACATAGCGGTTTGCGTAGTATATGGTTCCTAAATTCCCATTTAATAACACCGAAGTATAGTGCGCAACATGCGACTGGTATTGTTTTTAAGCATTAAAAGTAGTTCGTGAACTATGCGCTATACTAGGAATTGTTAACTCATACTATTAAATCACACATGTGAAGTGTGCAATATTGCGTATGAATTCGCGTGACAAAGACAACAGTTTCATGTGATGTGGTAGGATTTTGGGCATTTGGAAGAGGCTATGTGCATATGTGGTTCTTGATTCTGCAAACATGTTGAATTGTTAACTCAAACTATTATAATTCTTTTACATTTCGTTACATGGACATATCAGCGAATATTAATCTACACTTACATGGGTGACAAATGCAATTATATCAAGTAGAACTAAATTTCCGATACATTTCCTTCATCCGCTGGTAAACATTTCGGTCTTTAGCTGGTACTGACGGATTTATTCTTCGGATCGCATCACGGAAGTGTTCCATAGTTACGAGGCAGAGCTGGTTTATATTGCCAGATATGCTCTCCTTCATGGCTACTATACCTGCCTCACGAACAAGGGCTGCCATGTCGGCTCCTCTGGAAATAGCTTTCTCAACAATCAGAAAAGGAGTGATTTAAGCTCATAACTTTCAATGAATAAAGTTTTTATCCACATCTCAAAGTTAAATGGGTTGCATGTATAAGAAATACAGCTTATTGGCTCTTATCTACAATTGTGTGGAATGTAAGGAACCAATACTGCAGTGAAACAGAAGAAAATTCTATTCACTTAAAAAATATTGAAAATATCTTTGAGACTTACGTGAACCATTGAAGTGCAGGATCTGCAGCAATATCATGATATGAAAAATTGCTAGAGAGACGAGGACGCGTTCCGTTTCTCGTTATTTTGCGAAGGATGTCTTCCTTTTCATCTACATTAGGAAAGTCGACAAAAAGTATCTTATCTAATCTTCCTGGACGCAAAATAGCAGCATCGACGATATCTGTAAATATTTACTTCATGATTTCCGGTAATGACTTCGATATCTTCAATGGTAGTCTCGCGCAAAGAGTACTTCCTTCACTTCAACTGCAAGTCATATTTGTACTGTATGCTGACAGCTCCACCAGTAAAAAATTGGAGAGTAGTGCTAGCCATGATTTGTTTTTTTTTGAGAATGCAGAATACAAAATATCTATCGCGATATCGAACGGTTCTGACTACTGAAAAAATATAAAATGAGACCTGGACGATTTGTAGCTCCAATCAAGAATACCTCTTTTCGACTGCTCATACCATCCATTTCCGTGAGCAACTGATTCACTAACCGTGAACTACCATTTGACTGAAACAACAGGAGCATTACATGTGAAATGCAAGATGTAAATCTTGAAATTTCAAGAGCATTTTGCGTTAAGAATAATAATTTCACAATTTCTCTGCGAAACCACTGGAATGAATAAGAAATATGTGCGGGAATACCTCATTTCCAACTCGTTTTGGACATAAAGCATCAATCTCATCAAAAAATATAACACATGGTGAAGAATCTCTTGCTCTTTGAAAAACGGTTCGTACTTCTCTTTCACTTTCTCCAACATACTGCATAAAATAAGCATTTAACGATCTGTTAAAACGATTTTTTCTGAATAAAGATAATTTTGAAAAAGAACAAGTCAGAGCTCAAGTAATAACAGTCGTTTCCTTATGCCTCATCTACATGTATTTAGATGATACCATGCTCAGTAATTCGGGACCTTTGACGCTAATAAAATTCATGCCACTTTCATTCGCGACAGCTTTTGCTATCAATGTTTTACCACATCCAGGCGGTCCACAGAGCAATATTCCTTGCGGTCTACTTTCTATTCCAAATTTATCAAAAAGCTCAGGCTCTCGAATTGGAATCTAAAAAAAACCACTCGCATCAAATACTATATTCTTATCAAATAAATGAGAACTCATGAATTTTCTAGCGTATCATCTTGCAATTCTTCATTAGAGACAATTTGTTTATAATTAGATTTCATTCTAAATATAAACACTATATACAAATTGAGCCAATTCTATTTAAGTTAACTTGAAAATTTTTTGATGATATATTGTGCATACCAGTATGCTCCAATTTAATTCTTCATGAACATTTTCAAGTGCACCAATATCATTCCAAGTAACATCTGGAACGGTAGCGAATCCTTCACGTTTAGCTGATGGTTGCATTTTCGTCAATGCTTCATTGAAATCCTTCATTGTTATGTGAACATTTTGCAAAATGCTATCATCAATTCGTTGCGGTGACTTTATCCACATAAGTACTGAAGTCAAATATTTGTGATTTCAGAATAAAAATACGGTAAACAAGCTTCGATCCGTAATCACTTTATTATCATCAGCTATTAATATGTAGTTAAAATAATAATAAGATTTAACTGAAAGGCTTCCAAGAAAACTGTTTAAAAAACATGTACCACTTAATTGAGTACTGAAATGTTATGGATAACTATTACACATCTCATCACAATTTTCCGTTACCTCATTCCCAGTGCATGTAGATAATAACAAAGAATCAATCTGACTTCAAACTTAAAAACTATCAATTGTTTATGTAAATAATATGTAAATAAATTCAAGCGCACCTTTTTGTAATTCGATTTCGGTTTGCTGAATTTTGTTTGCTGCATATTTACGCATTATAGCTGTTTCAAATATTCTTAAAAATTAAGAAAGATAGTGTGTATAAACAGATACTTTTCATACAAAAATCCTGAAAAACTGGGAATGAGCAAATGAAAATACTTAGTAATCCTACTGGATATTAAACCAACCTATCCACGGCATATTTTGCCGCTTCAATGGCCAAAGCTTTTAAATCAGCTCCAACATATCCAGGAGTGAGACGCGAAAGATGTTCAAGCGATACATGTTCATCTAGCCGAAGTCCTCTAAAATATAAATATATAAGAGATGTACAACGAAATTCTATGATACTTTCCAAAAAAAGGAGTTTTTTAGAAGTATCGTAGAAGTAATGCCAAAAAGTGAATTAAAAACAAGGACCTGCAAACAATCTCCAATATTCTCAATCTAGCTCGCTTATCTGGGATTCCCACAGATATTTCTTTGTCAAAACGACCGGCTCTTCGTAAAGCTGGATCGATGGTTTCTACTCTATCTGTAGTTCCTGCAACACATATTACTATTTAAAAAATGGTCTTAATTAATGACAAATACTTCTAGGCACAACTAAATCTGATATAAAACAATATGGTTTATTGAAGTACCTATTACAAGAACAAGCTTTTCCTCAAAACTTTTGTCGACGGAAATTTCAGTGTTTGTCGTGTCTATTTTTACATCAGTTTTCTTCTTTGGACTTGACAAATCTGAAAACTGTGTTTCACTGTAAATCTACATCTACAAATAAAGCAAGGCAACGAATTAAAAGCTAAGGTGCGGTTACGAATAAATACCATCCAGACAAGCAACGAGTTGGGATACAATACGCCTTTCCATCTCACGCTGAGCATTTTCTCGTTTAGCTGCAATGGCATCAATTCCATCCAGAAGTAAAATGCAAGGTGCTACTTCAACCGCTTTATCAAATAACAATCTTATTTTTTGCTCTGTTTCACCAGATACTCCTGACACTAGTTTTGTTACTTCCATTTTCAATAATGGCAAATTAAATTCCTGAAACAAATGCTAATTTAAAGACTGACAACAAACCACAATCTTTAAAAGTAAGAAATTTAAAATATCATCTTAATACGTACTCCTGACACAGCTTGGGCTAATAACGTTTTTCCACAACCTGGAGGACCACAGAGTAAAAATCCAGTAGGACGTGATACTCCAAGCAAACTGTGGACTTCTGGATGTAAGAGATGTACAACAAAATGACAAATTTGCTAAAAGTAAAGCAGAATATATTCCAAAAAGACGCTGATATGTCACAGAAAATTTGATGAAAACGTATAACTTAAATACTACTACAACAATTTTTAAAGCAAAATGAGTACCAACTGTTGCTGTTCGCAACCACCAATATCTGTGAATGTAACGTCCGATACACTCGACTCCACATCAATGGTTGTGTTATAAAATGATCTCGATGAAGGCGAAGATTTCCGAGATTTTTTCTACAACACATTAAATTGTGTAGTTCAAATAGAAATAAGTTGCAGTGATAATAAAACACGTTAATGAATTCATATACTTAGAGTATAGAAATCAGTGTTGAAAAAACAATTTGTATAGAATTTTGGAATAAATCTAACACCAGCTTCAGAGATGACAGAAGGATGATAATGATCGCTCTTTTCAGCACCAGCTAAAACTTGATTTCTTTTCGATCTGAAATACAAATGAATACATGCTAAGAGAAAAAAGTTCACTCGACAACTTTCCTCAAATGGATACGACAGAAGAGTCATGATAGAAAACGAGGCTGATAACGGCTGAAAAACAGATCACTAGAAGCTAAATAAACTCGGTGTATAAGCTGAAATTTTAGATACTTTTAGTAATTATAAATAAGAATATGACAAGCAAAAAAACCAACGTCATTTTCCGTTTTCGTACGACATTACACGTTCCATCTGCATCATTAGTCAGATCAACTATACTTTCTACACTTCCTTCTACATCAATCTCCGTTAATTTTTCAAGTCCCACTTCAACTGACTTTATAAAATCACGATATTTTCGTCGAGAATATTCTCTGGAATCAACATTTCATTTGGTAGAAAAATTAATAACAAAGTTCACTTGTAAACAGTGAAATTAACACACGGGTAGATTTGTCGTAGTTGACGTGCAATATCCTCCGCATCGTATAGTTCATTTGCTTGATGTATCTAAAATATATTTGAATTTGTGATCACAAATGAAAATAGCATTCACAGTGGCAATAATAACTAATGAATACTATTCAATAATATTAAATAATAAATAAATAAAAATAATGAATAATAATAATAAATTAATTAATTAAAACAAATAATAATGAATGAATAAATAAATGATAGTAATAATGAATAATAATAATGAATAATAACAATGAATAAATAATAAAAACAAATAATAAAGAAATAATTAATAAACGATAATACTAAATAAATGATAAATAAATAAATAATGATAATAATATAAAGCGGTAAAATGACACACTAATATTATAATAAAGAAATGAGATCTCGATGACCTCATTAAGTCATCTAATTTTATCATTGCCATGCTATAGTCTCTGAAATAGTAAAGTCACATATACCTTATAGTGAAAAAAAAGTATCAATTACTACGCGAGAGATGTATCATGCAAAAAAAAATGCCAGAGACAACAAGAGAATTACAATTATACTTTTTGAATACGCGGTAAAAGACGGGAGTCAGATCGAAAAACCAAAGACGATTTATTTGCAACCATTTACAACGAGCTGAAATGCTTCAATGAAAACAGTGTCTATTCTTACATCAAAACTCTGTATTAATGTTACATAAATATGTCAGCACAACAAATCTGAGCGCAGGACAAGTACTGCCAGAGTGCCAGAATAAGGTCCAGCGCCAGAACCAATAGAGCGAATATTAAAACTAACCTCCACATTTTACTTTATTATACATTACTAATATATTAATGTTACTAATATATTGATTTCGATTGGACAAATTTTACTGAACTTCTGAAAATGAAGGATGTCACCTAATGACGAATGCAAATGAGTATGAGTTTTTACGACTACAAACATGACTTGCTTTATACCAACATATTTGTCTAGCTCTAAGAAAGGAATTTTTTATCGTTTGAACTCATAGTTATGCAGCGATATTCGAAATGTGTTCAGTTTGGACACAGTGCAACACTTGATCACAGAGAGATATGAAGGTAAAGATAAGAACGTGCAGTTTGCTAGAACTGTGTCTTGGTTTGGATGTGGTAAGCACATGAGATGTATTAAATCGCATATAATCACCATATCCTCTATTAGTATTGATTGAGCATATATATTTAGTTGCGCTTTGCGTATTTTTTTTCCGTATTTTCCATAGTCGATAGTTGTGAGTCACGAGATCGAAATAAAATATCACCTGAAATTAAACCTTCTAAACTGATAATCTAGTAGTCACGGAATAATTGTTAGTAGTTATGCATAAACCACTCAGATTCACATCATTTTAAGGGTGACTCAGAAAGCCAACTACCTCGTGACATTAAATTCAAATCCTATTTTCAGAATCTATCGCAATGGAAACTGAAGCTAGTAGTTCAACAGGCTCAGTTACTAGTGTTAATGACGAAATTGAGGTAACAGCCAGTATCTGTTCGTTTGCTTTTTGATATGTTATAAAGTTTGATCGTACCTATGTTATTAATGATATATTTTTCAACGGTATTACAGTCAAAAATAGCACCAGTAGCGCCTTATGAAGTGAATTCGATGATTCTTTGTAGCCATACCGATAATCTTTTTTATGAGGCAAAAATAATCGCAGTTAAAGTACAAACAAATGGAGAATACATGTATACTGTTCATTACCAGGTCTTATTTTCAGTTGCTTTTTAACTCTAAAATGATTAATCTTATCCAAAACTTCGTGGATGTGCGTGAACAAAATATTATCAAAGGTAATATGAACTAAATTATATGATCCAATTGTTCGAATGTGTTAGGGATGGAGTAAGCGGTACGATGAAAACATTCCTCATAGTCGAACACCTTCACGATTTCGTCCTTTTACACCGGAAAATATTGAACTTGCAAAGGTTTGCATTATGAAACAGTTTGCAGCATAACCAGACGTGATTAGTTTCTTTGTTCTTTTTCATGTAAACTGAGTATTATGCAAAATTATTCGAGTTATCTAGTTCTCAAATCCAACTGTAATGTCGTAAAAGTTATTGCGTAGTATATATGCCTAAGTATTTTTTTAAAGCTCATAATATTGAACTAAGAAGATAAAAAATAAGTTTTATTTTATTTTTGCATAACTAGCTTTGGCATATTGACTTGAAAAATCTAATTTCGGAAGTTGGTTTGTAAGCCACAGTTGAGTTGTGATCAATTTTTGTACTTGGATTTCTTAGCTTTACTTTGTAGAATATTAGTTTTAGATGGAAATGAAAGAAGCAAAAGCTGCCTTATCACCAAGGAAAAAAAAACCACCTAGAACAGAACTACGTCGTGGTTGTTCATCTACACACTTGTCTGATTCTTCATCTAGTAGGGAATACGAAAATTAACCAGCTGAATTGAAAATTGCATTCTAAATCTTTTCAATTGCTTGCAATTTTCAAGGTTTGTAAAATTGGTTGCACTTTTTTTGCAGATACGTCCCGTCCTGATAAGTTTTCAGTCCGTCAAAGCAAGAAACAAGAAACGGAAGATGTTTTGAAGACTTTTCTCGCAAATGAAGTTAAAAAATTGATATTTTTTTAAATAATGGCTTCAAAAATCGTAAAAAATATCTTAAATATTTTAATGCCTTTTCTTTTTAACAAAAAACGGTGCTTATTCTACAGTAACTAATTTAGGAAGTATCAGTTCCGGACAAACTGAAAGCTTTGCTGGAAAATGATCGTAATTTAGTTGAGAGTAAGTCAAAGTTGCCAAGATTACATGGACGCTCAACAGTATCACAAGTTATGCAGGAGGTAACCTTGTTTTACCATTTACTGTTATGACTTTTTGAAATATTTTAATCTTTTAGAGATTAAATAATGCCTTTCTAAGCTTTATTGTATGGTTTCATTTGTTTAGTAATTTTTTTGTTGCAATATTTTTTACTCGACAGAAATTATAAGCGTCAGAAAAAGGAAGAAATTGGACGAAATAGAAATCAGGACGAATTTACATTTCCATACTTTTTGCCCACCACAATTAATCCATTTGAGTATGTTATCTATGTGCGGAAACTGGATACCGTATGTGCAGAAGTTAGAATACACAAGGGACGAGCACGCTACTGGAGAAGTGTTGTTGCTGCGCTTGATGAGTGCGTGGATAATCTGAAAGTAAACCGTTATCTACACATTTTCAAATCTAAGTTACAGTTTTTGGTTGATTTATTGTTCCGGGACTTCATTTCGAGAAGGAACCATCATGTTTTGGATTGCTGTTTACAAACACTATATAGTTGAAGTTGTGTGAGGCTTATGTGTTTGACTGAGCTCTAGTTTGGTACCACTTACGAATATATTTATTGTGAATTGGACCTTAACAAGCATAATTTATTGTAGTATCATTATCTTCGATTGTTCTAAATCAAAATATTTCAGAGCTTCTTTGATTTAGTGTTAATGTCTGATGTACTGTATCCCAACGAAAAGTTGCGTCATAAAGATCTTACGGAAGGGGATTGCGAGATAGTAGAGTTGGACAGCTTGTCAAGTGAGATAGTTATTTGTAGTTATCGAGATATTTGTTGAGATAATCATATCATCTATAGATATAAAAATACTTAATGCATTTTGTAAGCATGGTTCCTGGATCTCGTTATCTCAATCTTCACATCTGTCGATTACATTCAGATTTTTTGAATGAACCACGGGGACTCTACGCATCAGAATACTACGGCTTCATCTACTTACTGCGACTACTCGTTAAATTTCCACAAATAATTGAGTAAGTGAAGTGCACCACCCATTTTTTTCATTCTAAGATACAGCAATTTATGATGCGCCAACTTTTTTTTGTACCAGATTCGTTAGAATTCATTTCATTGCAGATACATGCCATGTGACAAAGACTCAAAAAATATTCTTTCTGCTTTTGTCCAGTCATTTATCCGCTATCTGGGTAACAATTCAGAGAAATTTTTTGATCCTGAATTAGATTATGAACCTATCAGTGAAGACTACAAGCAACGACTTTTGCAGCAAAACTACAGCATATCAAAATCCTCTGACGATGTTTAAATGTGACACATTCCTCTTATTTTGCAAAACTGTACATTCTGTGCACCTTCTTGTACTAATTTAATACCAAATTAATAGTAGTGATTCACATGTTAGGTGTGCCATTAGCACCTGCGCATTAGGAAATAAACGTTTCATCAGCATAACCGAGACGTTAATCCCAGTTCATTCTTACTGTTACGGCAAATTTTTTGGCTAATCTCGTTTCCGAAAGTGTTAGTTGTAATCTAATATCTCATCTAGAAGTACGCAGATATTTGGGAAACATCGTTAAGATCTAGACGAAACGTGGTTCATTCCAAGGGAAAAATCTGAGAATAGCAATTCAATATTTATGGCATCTTTATATTTCCTAACAATGTGACTGGTGTATAATAATCATGAAATCAAAAGGTCACTATAGTTTCATACGGTTCTTGCATTCACTGCTAGAGATTTACGACTCGTAAGCGTAAGCGAATGCGTAGTTAAAGCTTTGCAACTTTATTAGCAGGCGTTAACTGTAAAACCTCAAGTACATATCTATGAAACACTGAAAAACTAGGAACAAGATATGTTTAGAAATAATTAATGATGTCTAGAAATTCTCCCGATGTCAAAATAACTCCACCATTAAACGAAATGACAGCAATACTCCCAATTTTCTTGAGTGCCACCATCAACTATCAAAACATACCTACCATCAACTACCAAAACGTACGACAAAATAAGTTTGCCATAATGCAGAGGATCATAATTTGATTCAAGTAATATAGTGAATGTCACAAATTTCAGTTCTCTCGGTATCGGATACGCAGAGAAATTGGTTGCACTCTTGTTTCATCAGCAATCAGGAGTTCGTCACCATTTTCTAGACCAAGATCTTGAAATTTTTCGTTAAGTCTACTGAAGCACAATTGGGAAGCGATCATGGAAATTGCCTAATTGTTAAAAGTCCAAACTATATAATTCCAAATTCGGACAGATTACACAACTAAATAAAAATGCCCGGAATTAACATCGAGAACTGTGACAGTCACTTTGAATATACGCCAAAAAACTTGCCTTTCAAAGTTTTTGACAAGTTGGCAGCACTGATTTCATTCATTGCAGGTATTAAATCGCTCTTCATATATAACTTTTCTTTTGCTGTTTGCACCGAAGGATTACAGAGCTGACTGCAAAATATGAAATATATTTTTTCTATAGCAACGATATCTACTATTTCCATCCTCTGCTTCTGAAATTATCACTTCAAACAAAAGAAATTAAAAAAAACTATCAGTTCTACATCACATTAAAACCAACTTACTTAACTAGCAATACAAATGATGATAGTGAGGAAATAACTTTAAGTTACTTACAATTTCTCCGTGATTTCATTCAGTAAAGAGCGCAATGTTTTCTGCACCGAAACATCTATATACCGTGCTTGTTCTCCACAAACTGAACAACTTCTCTGTAAATTATTTCTAAAATACAACAAAACAAAAATTAGTCCCTCATCTGATTTAGAACGTATAGGACAAAAATTACTAAGCTATGTTGCAATTACAATGTGATAGTAGGTGTGATCCAGGGCCATTATAAATGATTACAAAAAAATTTCTAAAAACGAATATAAATATATATGTCTCACCGCTCTTTCCAATTCCACAACTCCTAAATAAATGCCATCAATATTTGTAAAATTCATGTAGTTTTGCATAGGACAAGCAATACTGAAAAAAGTAAAAGCAAAATAAAGAACCAATGTAAATACAAAATATTCACCTTTAAAAAAAAACAATAGTACATACTTCGAAGCTAATTTCAAAGCCTCCAATGCGCAAGATGCTGAAATATATGCTTTTAATAAATTCTCATGAAAAGCAGTATTTTGTCAAACATGAAGAAGTCCTTAAAAGAAAACAAAAAAAAAAAGAATCATAAATTCAAAAATGAATATTTGCACTAATGCGATTCAAAAATGTATAAGCATTCGTAATTCTAATACCAGCAATTACAGCATTGGTGGAAGCAACGGCGGGGATTATTCGCTTTAAGACACCTTTCGTGAGTCTTAGATCGACGCCCTCGATTTTATATTTGTTAGCTCTTTCCAAAGCAGCTTTATATACCCAATCCACATGTTTCATGTTATCAACATCTAATGTTTCACCTTAATGTTCATTAAATATAGAATTTTTAATTTCATTCTCTATTTAATAGCCATGTTCTACTCACTATTCTTTTTTGTTCATATCTTTGAGCTTCTAACGATGAAAAATGGTACACATGCAATATCATGACTAAAATCGATCCAGCTAGAGAACTTCTACAACTCAGAAAATGAAGCTATTCGGCGGACCATTGAATGGTTTATTTTGTGGCCACTGTAATACTCTCACATATTCGATACAATGCTCCGGAAGCCGTGGAGTATTTGCTATTGTGCACAATGGGAAACTGGTCTACAAGGAAATTGAGAATTCAAAAAGCAGCTTGATGCTTAAGAAAGAATAAAGATGTGGTTCAGTGGAATAATATGCATAATGCAATAAACGTTAATTAATTATGAAAGTTTAAAGAATACGAAAATGAAACTTGTGGAGGATAGAGATCAATCGCACATTCGACACACGCAGTTATCCATGGTAATATTACTCGAGCACTGCCCTTGAATCCTTCTGTTCCACCATCAATTAATGGTATAATTCCAAATGGATTTCCATCAGAATCAAATTCGACCAAGCTCACCTAGTCAGGAAGTTCATAAAATACATGGAGCATATTGAATATGAAAAATTAAAGGCGCAGAGTTATCAATTAACTCACTGCAGCCTTATTCAATTATTTCGGAGTCAGGTTTCATTAGAATATTATAAAATTTATTCAAATGATACTAATTTAGCACTGAGCCATCTTCTTGCAGTGACAGAATCCAAGCCACAGATAATAACGTCAAACGATCGATAGAACTGATCATCCATATCTTCTATTTTGCAATTATGCCTAGATATGATTTTATTAGCAAATATAGTTATCTATGGAACTTTATTAAGTGCTTGAAGGCACAACTACTTAATTTTTTCAATAGTAACAGCTATAAAAACAAACGCGATGACAGGACAGTCTGGAATTCGCTTTTGAACAAATGCTGCCGCTACTTCGGCTTTGGATTTATCAATATCTGTTTCTCTAAAAACTGATAAATAGAGAAAACAATACTTTGGTTGTAGCAATGAATTTTTGCAACTACGTGATCCTTTCCACTAGTTGAAAAAATTGAACAAACCTAAAAAGGAACTGTCTATTTAAATTGGACAATTCGATTGTATCCATGTCAATAACTTCGATTCTTCGAAAGCCTGACAGTGCCTAAGTGTTCATCACATTAGTTTTTCATTTTATAAATTTACATGAATAATAAATGAACACTGTATGCATTTGACAACTAAAATGAAACAGTTAAGATCATACGAAAAACTTACTAAATCCTTCAGTAATTCGCATCCTAAACCACCAGCTCCAACAACCAATACACGACAGTTTTGTACTGCCGTCATATTCTGTTACAAAATTACCTTTCAGTTTTCATAACAATTTAAAATTTTCAAAGTATAACATAAAATAACATCGCGTTAGATGTGCAAATGAATCAATGAGTACAATAATAAATCTATGATAAACTGTCACAATTTGTTTTTCAAGAACTAACAGTAAGCACTTTCAATTCAAATGAGAGTTAGATAGAGTATATTAAGAATAACTTGCGGTCCAGGTTCAAAAGCAGGATGAGCAAAAGCTGATTTAACATCTGTAAGATGTCTCAATTCACGCCAACGATCGTTCTGATGCTTATCCACTGACACGACTTCCATCTGAAATACTACAATTCTTAAAATATTTTTTCCTCATTGAAGTTAATGTTCGAAAAACATAAAAAGTCGAAATACACAGTACACAGAGATGAGAATGTTTCTCCCTTTTCTGCTGACATTTTTGATTTGTCATCATCATGATTATGATAAATAATTGTAGTCATAATCATGACTATCATCATTTTCCCATACCAATCACAAATATGATAATTTATACATATGAATAAATATTAGGCCGAGAAATGATCTAAATATATAAGCATGTCAGACAACACTCTGTCCCTTTCCATCAATCTACTCTCAAATAGACAAAATGGACTACTATGTATGGCTGTTTAAGCTTTTCTTTCTCGTTTTAATGGTAATTACTATTTCAATTCACCAAAAAATTAAAGGATAAATGATCCATCTTAGCATTATGTGAACAAATAAGAAATGTGTTTTAATTAGCACATAAACTCTTCTATTTTACACTTTTTTAATACAGACAAAATTTAGAGTTGCTGAGTCAAAAACAAAAATACAAAATTGTTTGAAAAATTGATAAAAAAACGTTCAATGATAATGACATATCTAATCTGACAGTAAATAAATTGTCGAAATTCCTTAAACGTTTCAGGTTTGTTCAGTTTCATCAGAGCAAGTAGTTTTTCTGATGGATGCAAAACCAGAGAACATTTGGCAACAACAAACCATACCCATTTGGATATGTTAGCATATTTCATCCATGCAGTGCTTGAAAAATTACTGTTTCTCAAAATTATCATCGAATAAAATGGACGAGAAATTCAGAAGCCAGTAGAAAAAAAATTTTTTTTGCTCAATACATGCATTATTTGAAAACAATTTAACAAAAAAAAAATTATTTTCATTTCTAGCGCCTGCTTACACAAAATCACGCAGGACACAAATTGGAACCTTCCTTCGCGTGATACAAAATGCTACGAATATTAGATTTCGATCGTATGCGAAAGAAAGAGATGTGGATTACATATCAGTAAAAATAATTACCTATGGCTGTTACGGAGTTATAGGATTTGGGAGAGGTGGAGAACGGGTCAGTAACTTGTTTGTGCCTTCCCTAATCACTGTATCAACTATTAATCAAAATCTATTTGCTGACATGCATTGTAATATGAAGATTTGTAATGTGTTCTTGAGTAGTACTTCTAGAACAGATCAAAGATAGAAATTTGCATTTATTGTAAAACTACTAGGTGCATAACTGACAATACCTACTGCCGACTATTTTTATGATAAGATTAATTACACAGAACGGTCAACTTACATTATTTAATTGTTTCGTAAGGATTCATCTCAAGATTTTAATTTTAATATCTTAATAAAAGATATTAAAATACTGAGGACTGAAAATTTTAAATATAAAAATCATTCCAAAAACAAAGTATTATTTTGTAATTAAAAGTTGAGTTGATCAATGACGCATAGAACAAAGCATTCTACTTATAGTGGATGAATTTGTTCGAGGACTGTTTAGATTACGCTGAAACTACATTAAGAACAATATATCAAGTTTTTGGCTTCCAAATGATTGCAACAAAAAATCCTGATAAGAAGTTACTATACAGAGAATTTACAATTGTAAGTTATTATTAACACTCAGAACTATGATTAGGATTTCAAGTTTCTCAATACTTTCACTAAAAAGTTGTATTTTTGCTGTGAAAGAATAATAATAAATTTTTATCAGCTAAGAAAGCGATAATGAAAATGTGGTTTTTCAACTCCAGAAAAATTAGGGAATTTTTAGTCAAGTCTCACTCTTAAAGCTAAAAAAGCATTTTTTGCTACCTACCCCCACCCTTAAACAGCGACAAATAAATTATCAAAACATCCTGCCACTTTTTTAGGTAATTAATGAGAAAATCTGTTGATAAAGAGTATTACTTTTCGTTTAACATGAAAAATCGAGAACAGGAAGATTATTGGTGTCACTGATAGTAACAGTATTTTAGGGACTAGAATTTTATGCATACAACGATGTAATAACAAATTCGTATCTTCATTCCTTGAACGAGCCATCAAACGGCACTATTGTAATAGGTGCGGAAAGCGCAACAAGCATGACATGCCACCAGCCAAATATGGAAATTGTATGTATTACATCTTAATGCTAACATGTAAAATCATTCTGATATAGGCAGAAACTACTTCCAGCATTCATCTCATATTCTAAGAGAAAATAACTTGCAGAATTATTGGACTCATGCTTACACAAATCTCATACATTCCTATCCATATATCGATCTGATTATGTTTCCAAAATACTTTCGAAATAAAAATGTGGAGATCTCGGAACACGACAGATTTCATCTCAATCGAATTTATGCAGAGGTAAAGCTATCTGTGAGATATAAAAACATTTTAATAACAAATGTAAGCAGTAAATGAATAAAACCAGATAGATAACAAAGAGTTAACCTGTCATAGCTATTACTACAATAACAAATTTTACACATAATTCCTCTATATCTCTAAGTATTCAGTTCTGCTTAAATTGTGAACAAACTAATATGACCTTGTCCAAGCCAGAAGTTAAAAAATAACTACCCAGAACACAACAAAAAGTGTCCACAAGTTAATAGGGATTATATCACATTGGTCTTTCTAGAATGCCTGAAAATTGCATATCGTAACCACTTTAAAAAGAAGTTGCGATTTGCAAATCATAGGTCTCTTGTAATGTTATCAAGAATCAAGATTACTACCTGAAATTGTCCTTGATAAACAGTAATATGAATTATCTAGATTGATAATAATATGAGAACACAAACAATGAAGTGAAACGAATGAAACTTCCAACTTTAGAAAAACATGGACCCAATATATGACCTCACAGATTCTACTCACGCAGCTAAATACAATGTAGAAAAGTTGTTGGGCATACCGGGGGTCTTCACAGGAGTACGCGATCTGCACTGTGAAGATATGCTTGTTGATTGTGCCTTCATGCAGAACAATCGGGATCACTGTAACTTATACCAAGAGTTTAGGTGTGTTTTAACCTCAAACGTTACGTAGTCAAATCTCATTTTGATGACATTTTTTCATCACTTCAACTTCAGATATATATTGTGTCCTCGGACTTGTTCGATGTGTGGGGTCAGCCTGAGATTATATTATATCGCTACACATCATTCTTTCATACATTCTCAGGTATCTATCACCTAACTGCTTCTCTACCCAGTTTTCTACTACCTGTTAATCAAATCAGTCAGTCAGTCACACTATCAATTACTTCAACTTGTCTACATATCTGTTCCGATCCATTTATTTGAATCTACTTTTCCGTGCCTTTTTCTTATTCTACTGATTCTTTCATGAGCATTTATTGCACACAATTGGCGGTGAAAATTTTGCAATGCTCTGCATGCTTTCGTAGTTTTAAATCACAGGTTTCAGCATTTAAAGGAAAATGAATTGCCAGTATGTACTGATGACTTAGAAAGTGTCAATAAAGGAATCTGCGACCCTAATCAACGGTATCGATGTTTGCTTCCAGCAGTACAAGAAAAATGCACTCGTAGCTGTGGTTACTGTCCCGAACACAGTCAAGTTAATTGTGACTTTGTTAGTTTTATTCATTCATTTAAACTAAATAATTGCCGCTAATAGAGTTCGACTTCTAGCATGCATGATTCTGAATCACATCATATGCTGAAGATGTTGAAATTTTGATAGCATATACAACAGCTCTAGAGAGGGATACAATTTTCCCAACGTACATTAGCACGGCGAAACTGTTTGCTATCTTTTAGTCGCTATATAAAAAGTCTTAATCATGTTTATTGCTTTGCACTATTATAAGCTGTAAACCATAGAATTCATTTCATTAAGCAATAAGTAATTTTTGCATCTTTTATAAAGCAGTAAATGCTGATTATTTATAACACAGTGAAAAAAGAATTAATGACTGAAGATTCACTATTTCTTGAGCAGTTTTTATTCATACTCAACGTTTTTATGAGAACAGATCATTGCTCTCAATGCAGAATACTCCTCTGATCATCCAAGTTATAATTATCGGTGTCAGTACATCCGAGTTGTCCCTCGTTACAAATGTAAAGCGGTATGTTTCAAATTCACATGGAGAGTACAAATTTTTTTTTGATTTCATATTCAGAGTCTATAAACATAGATGAAACAAATTAACTGCATAATTGTAGAAGTCGCGTCAGTTTCATATTTTATACGCCACATTCCGATAAAGAAATTCCGAATGCGTTACTGTGAGCCATAAAATAAAGTGAAATTGGACTAATAATTTTTGACACTGCATTTTATTGAAACTTTATGAAAAAGAGAGAGTCAGTGGAAACTTTCGCTAAAATGGGAAAGTTGAAAATGATTGCGAATAACGAAGTTATAACTTTTAAAGATACAGAAACCATAAAAGTGTCATGAAATTGTTACCAAAATTCAGCACTTTGATATTATATTTGCATTTTAGGATACAATGATACCATTAAATCCGGTCACTGATTGCATGTTATCATGTGGACGAGCTAGCTGCATGAAAAATGACATTGATTACAACAGCGGCTATACATCAATTCCGGTAATGCAGTTATACGTACTACCGCAAAGTTTGAAATTCCCAACATTTGGATTTTGGAGAAAAGCTGAGAAAGAAAGAGAAACACATTGATCCAGCTTCATCTTCTTTCTACCTCCGTTTCAAATACAGAATGACTTTCACTTCTCGCTTCAAATTTTGGTCTCAATTATGAGATAGACATGTTCATTATGCTGTAATTACTTAATCTGAAGAGGCATTCACTGAAATCAGACTTACCTATGAGTATGTCAGTGTTTAATTACTTTGATTCCTACACCTCTTCATTTTATAAACTGAATAAAAAGTAAAGAACACAAATTGCACGTGCTTTGCTTATTCACTTTAGCAGTTTTGTCTCAAATGTATAATGTAGCTTTAGTTTCGTTTAAATTCTTGGGGATAACAATTTTGAATAGTTATGAGCACAGTAATGTCATTAAGATATGCATTTAGTTTCAAAGAAGTAGATGCGGTTATATTGCTAAAAACAATCAAATATCTGCTTTGTAACCACTGGTAAATTCTTCGTTCTCATCCTTTTAATTTTCTTCATAATAAATATACAGTTCATAAGACAAAATATGTCTCGAGTATAAGTAGGTGGTTATGCAAACGGAAGAATATTGACCCAAAATAGATGTAGTTTTGTTTCAATGCAAGGTAAACGAATCTAGCACAAAATTAATTTACTTGAATATTCACTAGAACTAGTGATAAGAAAAGGAAAAGAGGTCGGCCTAGCTGTAACTTTTCCGAATTTGCAAGTGTTAAGTGTTAAGAGATTGAATATAAATGGTGTTCGAGACACCTTCAAATTTCATTCGTTAAATGTGAAAGGCTTGCTGCGGCTGTGGAAAATTAACTTGTGAATAGTGATTTTCCGTTATTTTGCAATAACACAATCAATAGCAAGCGATAAAATGCCCGTAACGCTAAACAATGAGTTATTGATATTTGGTGTGATGGTATTTATGGTAACTGCCATGGTGGTACAATGTGCAAAAAGAAAACGATCGTGGTGTCAGACTCCTACAGTTTAGCGTTTTCTATTCTCAACTATAGCTGAGAAAAGTAGCCTTAAACAAAAACTAAGTTTGGAAAGTACTCATCTGCGAGTACATCCAACGCAACTTTATATTTATAGTCGATTACCTTTAGTCAAGTACACAAATTGCAATCTTATTACTGCTTTTGTACAATGCTGTGGGGTTGCCTTCCTGGACGGCAAGGTAACTTTCCTTCATATCTAAAAACAACAAATTCAACAGTAATTGCGAATTAGTAACAACGTATTACTGCACTGTACAAAATTATCCCACGAAACACTATTGCTCTTGCCTTCTTTGGCATTACACATGGTTTAATTATAGTACAGACGGACAAAATTTGCCATGCCAAATTTTGTTCATCTTTTTCACTGCAACAAAATGTTTATTTTAAACAGTCATATAATTTGTTTTCTAATTCTGCAACGAAATACTCATCGTGATTTTGCTCTGCACTTAATCACAACACAAATTGTAGTCTTACTGCACTGGAGAATAATGCGAAATGTCTTGAGAATCTCTACTGAATATACTATAAAAGGATGATCGTCAAGTTACCTTCACCTCACTTCCTCTATTATAAAGTCTAAAAAGAAAATAGTTGGCAACATAAAATATTGGATTAATAACGAATAGATAACTTCCGATGTCAAAAAGTGAAACTTTGACAAAATGCTGCAGAAAACTTCCACTAGCAAGGAATCAACGAAAAAGAAGAATGGATCGTACAGATCAAGAAAATCAGGAAGTGAAAAAAGCTATCAGTCCAGGGAGGGATCAATCATAGAAATGTGGGGCGATGAAGCATCTCTCACTTCTCAAAATCAACTCCCAATGATTCCAATAGTGGACGCGGGAACTCCTAAAAATTTAGAGGTTCTTAAATGGTTTAAATCATCATTCAATCTTAAGTAGGACTGTACAGAATGTTAAGGTCATTATTATAAAGCCAGTTTGATCAAAATAAGAATACAACCGATCAGTAATGGACCTCAAAACTTGCAAACACTTTCCAATTTTTAAACAAAAATGAACCAAAGTGCAAAAACGGATGCCATGCAGCCCTAACAAAATTTCAGCAGCCATTTTCAACTGATACGGACTTCAATCGTATATTGTTTGGGGAAACAGAGGTAAAAACTATCATTACCAACTCTAATTGATCATTTAAATCTTTGAAGTGTTTTACTCACTGCCATCACTTTCATTATGGAAGATATTAATTATGATTATTTTCAGCAAACTACGCAGCAAAGTATTGAGAAATCTAAAGAAATAGGTTAATTTTCGTTCAAAATTTTGTCGAAATTTCTGCTGTCTGCATACTTTTTTGTATTTTATAAAAAATATTTTAATGTTTATTTTGGAATAATAATGTGGAATAAAATCGTGAACTTAAATATAGAAGGACAAGATTTGATTCTTGAGCCTAAGAATCTTCGATGGAACAGTGAGGGAGGATATCAAACTGTACAGTTACAAAACACTACGGATAGTCGGTTGGCTGTTAAGGTTAGACTGAAAAATGACAATAAATGAACCTTGACGACTTGTTACCAAAGATATAAATATCAATTAACGGAAATGATTAAAATACAAGCAATTAAGGAAAAAGTATAATGAGATAGTTTTCATGCCAACTGAATCAATGAATGCTATTCATGTCAAATCACCTTATATTTAATTACGATTAAAGCAAGTAATAACATTAGTAAGCAATATGATAAATTTATTACCATGAAGGAATTGTGCAAACAGATAAGTTTGATGTTCTTGCAGGCAAAATGTTCAGATAACGAACTGTATCGCGTAAATCCCGTTTTTGGATTCATTAATCCAAGACAAAAACTAAAAGTCGATATTGTACGGCAAAAAGCAGTGCCCAAAGTTGACAAATTAATTTTTGTCACTGTGCCTGTTAGTTTCAGACCAAATTCTTTGCTTCACAATGCATATCATGCTTACTTGTCTCCTAACTATGTTACTTATGCCATGAACTCGTGATAGAAAAAAATCTCATCTCATTCCTCATATTCTACTTTTCTATCCATATTTAATGTTTTTTCTTCACAAAAATTCACAACCACTGAAAAATATTGTGACCTCACAGGAGTTCCGTGCAATAACTTGATAATTAATTAAATAGACTCAACATTTCAGGCCAACAATGAAGACTTACTACCCAAACCATTATTCAAGCAGTACGAAGATAATCAAAAAATGACTGTTTTACCATTGCTCGTTGCACGTGCTATTTAACTATTTTTTTAAATGAATATTTTCGATCTAATTAGTCTTGATGTATTTTGATGTAAAAGTCAAATAAACGACAATTTGTTAAATATTTATAAATTATGTGAATCTGGTGTAAAAACAATATGGTCGCAAAGTTTATGATAAATTTAGTCTATATGACTATCTAGGACGCAAATACCCCAAACATAACCTTACCGTGTAAATAACTTATTTACAAAGCTGCAAAGTTGCATCGTAAATTACATTAGAGTGATCTCTATAAATTTCATGATGGGTCTTGACGCGCTGCATTGCGCGATGCGTACTTTTCCTGTGAGAAGCTAGGGAAGGATGGAAGAACTCTTAGTCAAGTAGTTTGTGAGGTTTTACTTTTTGAAAGGTTGGGCACCCAGTTAGGTTAACTTGTAAGTTTTCAGATTCTGTTACATTTTACTCGTACTTGATTTTGTTCTGCTCACCATGTCTCGGACATGAAAAAAAATCATGTTATATTGCATTAATTTCGCATAAGTTTTTGCAGTAAATTATATTTGATTTCACATTTTTTTGGTTTCAGACTTTGTTTCCTATATGCATTTTCCATGTCAGCTTTTTGATTCAGATAAACACTGTTCTTTTTCATGAGGTTGTTATTATAAGGTAGGATAGTTTTTAGGATATTGCATATTTCTGCTAGTTTTGAAAAGTTCAAATTTCTTATTAACGATATGGCGGCTGCTTCACCTTTGTTGCAGTACTCAACGGCAGATGTTGTCGCTTCAAGTTCATCATCAACATCACAAACTTTAATTACTTCTCAGGTCAATACTTCCTAAAATCATTTGAATGAGTAATATCCTAGTCAGTATCGTGTTGAATAAAGAATCTTATGACTACAATTTGTAGGCAACTTCCAACGTTATACAGATACAGGCTGTAGCAAATAATCAGTATCAACCGTACTATCTTCGGCCTGGTTATCGCTTTAAAACAAATTTGGTTAGTCATAAATCTCGTTTGCAAATAGTGCTTTCTCTGATGAACACAGTTCATTTTTCTTTACATCAGTTATGCTTATGCTCATGACAATTAATAATTATGTGCAGTTTTTGAAGGGAAATATTTTTTTTCCAGTTATTAATATAATTGAGTGTATGGCAGATCTAGATTCTTATTGCACGTTTTGTGTTTCTGAATTGTAGCAACCTGTACTGGATATCACTGATGGTCCAGGGAGGCGATTACGTAAAAATGTGGCAAATGTTAGGCGTCACATCGATTATGTGGCTAATGTGCTCAATCATTATGAGGTCTTTACCTTAGTTTCTTCATTTGACACGTATCTGTGATACTTCCTACTATATGTGTTATTTAAAGTTTTTTTTAATTATCAAGTAAAGCAGGAAATGTTCGATACTAACAAACTATTGTAACAGTAGTTTGCTAGTATTCAACTTTTTTTTCTTAAATACGGCACTACAAAAATTTAAATTATCTTAAACATGGAAAAAATTGATGACTGTTAGTACCTGTTGATGTGTAGTTGGCTACTTGCGGTTTGTATTGGGATTCATCTCCTTTAAGATATTAATTCTGAGCATCAAATAATAATTCTACTAATAGGTAGAATTTATTATCTATTGCTTTACAGTTACTTCATACTGTCGTAGATTATGGTTTAAAGATCAGATTAAATGTGATGCAGATAATCTTGGATGAATTTTTTATTTTAAAATTTATGGGGAAATTAAAATTAGAAGCTTTGTACTTGTACACTCTTAGGCACGGTTGTGGCAACGTGATGTTCGCGATCGTATAGCTATTCAGCCAGATATACTTTATCAGAATACAACAGTTCCACCAACTCCTTCAGACAAGACAATTGATTGTGTTCTCAATAAATTCGTGCGAGCTGCGATGAACAAAGTGAAATGTCCTATTTACAGTATATGCGTGAGTAGTCTATTCCAGTCTTTATTTAATTACATGTTTTGTACATTTTATCTTTATTATATATGGCTAAATATCTACGTGACCGCATTTTATTGTAGTGGACACCAGAAGGTAAACGACTGGTCACGGGTGCATCTACGGGCGAATTTACTTTATGGAATGGTACTGCCTTCAATTTCGAGACAATTCTTCAGGTATTTGCAGCAGCTTTTTCGTGCATCTCAATGTATCGCGTTTGTTCATTTTTGTCTCATTTATTCATTTATTACCATGAGTCATCTCGTATGTTATCTATTACTTCTTGTATAACTTCATTAGTCAACGATTCGGCCTAAAATAAAATGAAGTAAAAAAAGGCTGAAAAGTTTGTAAGTTGAGTCGTTCTTATATATAAATATAATGAAAATAAAAGATTTAGTCGGCACTGTTTTCTTTCACAATTTTGCCGATATTGCTTTTATAGTTATAAAGAGGATAAATAGTTTATAAGCTCTTTGTTGCCAGTTTTCATACTCTAATCAGCCAAAGCGCTCCACGGTTGTTTTTTACATTCTCCAAATTTGGTTAAAAGCTGGTTATGAAATTTACACTTTGAATTGAAATGTATTAGGAATCACTTTGTTATGGGTGTATTGGCAATCCTATTGTTCTGCATAGTAAAAGACGAAGTAACTAAGAATTCATATCCATAGACTTTGTTCTACCGCGAACTTCTTTCGTATATTTAAATATAATCTATATTATAATGATGGAAGGGTTATATACACTGGTATTAAGCAGTTATTTGAAATAAAACGATCTCAAATGAAGCGTGAATGATTCGTGCGCATGGAACTAAACTTTTGTTCTTGTGGATGTGGATGTGTCGGTGTCGGATATGGGAAATGAATCGTTAAAGGCGATTCGTTGTTGAAAACTTCTCCTTTGGATCAAACAGGAATGAATGTTCATGAATTCTATTCATGTCTTCCGTACGCACCGTGGTAGTCATATTTAGGTATTTTAAGAATATGATTGCAGTGTGAACAATTTTAAATGCTTTATCTTTTGTGAATGGTAATATCTGGATGCATTCGCACCATACTGTGTTGAACGTAAACGCACGATATAAAGGGGTTAGGAAATGCAGTCAAGAACAATCACGTTCAAAGTAGTTTCATATAAATGTGCAAAGCAACTGATCAAATAGTGGAGTAAGACAAGTGCTGTCAGCAAAAATAAATTTAGTATTAATTATAAGCCTAAAAGCAAGCGGTGATTGAAATGGGCCAGTTGTGCGGAAATTGTATTTGGGACTGGAGCAGGACTTTCTCAGTTCAATTCATTTGAACAATCAATAATTGTAGGGACTATTTGGGGTTCAGCTAGACAGATTTTTCGCAAAATATATACCTTAAGTACTTTGTAAATGTCATGCAATTTTCACTAGTGAAGTGGGAATGACTGATTCGTTACTGTGTCAGAAAGCATCTTGCCAATATTCGCCATTCATTGATTTTTACTCCAGTTTCCTACATTTGTAAATATGGAAGCTAAATTCCGAGTTGTGATTGTAGTTTGAGATTTGATTTAGTTTTCAGTCACGGAAAATATGGACATTTTCGAACATGTAGTGCACATAGATGTGGTTGTAGCTTGTTCCTAGTTGAGGTCAGGGGTTTTATGTCTTGAAAAATTATGTGGTGAGTAGGGATTTTAAAGTTTAAATTAGTAAAACAAATAGCAGTTGGAATCTATGCAATTATGTGCAGTTAGCTCATGTATTTGAAATAATTTATCACTTACGTTTATGTAATTTTATGTCTATTTCCGTTACTACTCATAAAACAAGAGTTGTCTTTGCAGCGCAAGACCGGTATTCTTCACCGTCTCTGCTTTATACAATAAGTTGCGATCGATAAGAATGGTATGGGAATTTGCAGTGAGTCAGTGTTAACCAGCTTCAATTGCACACAACAAATTATCAGATTTTTAGGCTCATGATACGGCTATTCGGGCTCTTAAATGGTCACATAACGATCAGTGGTTAGTGTCAGCAGATCACGACGGTTTTGTGAAGTACTGGCAACCAAACATGAATAATGTACATATGTATCAGGCGCACAAGGATGAACCTATACGATCTATCAGGTTAGCTCAACATAATTTCTTTTAGCCATGAATTTATACCTATTGTTTGCAGTTTCGCACCAACAGATGTTAAACTGGTAACTGCTTCTGATGATGGAACTGCTCGAATTTGGGATTTCGCTCGGTGTGTTGAAGAAAAAGTATTACGTGGTCATGGGTCTGATGTACGTAGTGTCGACTGGCATCCACGTAAAGGTTTGGTTTGTACAGGATCGCGAGATTCGCAACAACCAGTTAAACTATGGGATCCAAAAACAGGACTGTGTCTTGCAACTTTGTAAGTCTTCATAATAATTAACTTTTTGATACATTATCAAAACATGTTTTCACTAAGTATTTATGCATGTAATTATTCGTGTTGCATTTTTGTTATAAAGTTCTTTTGAAATTAGAGCTTTAGTCATCTTTTTGAAAAAAAGTTACGGATTTGTTACTATTAAGACACGAGCATAAAAATTCGGTGATGGCTGTTCAATGGAACAAAAATGGAAACTGGTTATTGACGGGGTCTCGGGACCACCTGATCAAAATGTATGATATTAGGATGATGCGTGAAATGCATACGTACAGGGGCCATAAAAAAGAAGTAACAGGTGAAGTTTTTCACTCAAAGTTTCAATTTTTCATAAGTAACTGGTCTGCTTCATTCTATTTTTGTTTGTTCTAGCACTGGCTTGGCATCCCATCCATGAAAGTATGTTTGTGAGTGGTGGTGGTGACGGATCATTGGCATATTGGCTTGTTAATAATGAAAAAGAACTGGGCTTTTTGGAGCATGCGCATGATCAAGCCATATGGACGCTTGAGTGGCATCCATTAGGTCATATCCTTGCATCAGGTAAGAAAGACTTTTTTTCATAACCAATTTTCGCTAATTTCAAATTTTTATATTTGTGGCGGAAATGCCTAGTATAATAGAATTTTAAAGGACAACCGTCTCAAGTATTAAAATATTCTAAATTCAAAATTTGGTATTTATTCAATATTATAGCTGTATATTTAGGTTCTAATGATAATAATACAAAGTTCTGGGCACGAAATCGTCCAGGTGACACGCAGGATGATATATATGGGTTAACATCAGTTTCTGGTTCGATTCCATCGTCACTGAAGGAAGCAAAATCGGAATCACAGGAAAAAATGTCAATTTCGGTCATCCCAGGTATAATTTTGGACTATTGAATTCACGCAAAATCATAATATAGAAATCTTCGCTAGAATGAACGAATTTTATCACGAAAAAACTCAGATTTGTTTGCTTAGAATCACGGAACTATCGAAATATTAATTTGATTTACATTTGACGTTCTCTAGGTATGGGTTTGGATGATGATGTGTTCCAAGGACTCCAGAAAAAAGATGCACGAACAACTGTTGGAGGTCCACCGGTTGGGGGTCCTTTGCTTTTCCCGGAAGATCCCAATGCACGTCAACAGGTCAGTTCAAAACATTATTCAATTTTAAAAGGTCTAGTATCTTATTTTAGGAATAAAAATTAGTATATTTCCAATGAATTATGATTGTTAATTTCTCTGTCTTTTTTTTTCTCTAGAATATTATTACTTTAAATAAAAAAATAAAATGAAATAATATGAAAAATCTGCTTCTACACTTCGCTAGAAATAATCACATTCACCTATCTCTCTTTGATGACAATTCCGTGATTGTACTGAAAGTCTTGTTTTTTTTCCAGACTATGAATATTGGTGCCAAGAGAACACTGATTAAACAGCCTCCGCCTAAAAAAGCTCAGCGACAGTTTGAGCGTATGTGGAATGTTGCGAAACCAGGTGCTTCTGGAAATGATAGTTATAATGGTGAAGAGCCCGATGAAAGTACATTCCGGAGATCTAAGGCGTCTTTACTTGGTCCACCACCACGTTCCTTGTTGTCTTCGAAGCATGATGGAGGTAATCGGCAGTAACTGTCTGTAATGTCTCAAGAATAAGCTTTCTTCCATTGGATTTTATTCATTCTAGATGTTTGAACAACTGTTGAAGGTCTTTTGCTTTTTCCAAAAGATCCCAGTGGATTGATTAAATCTTACATGTTTCAGAAAATCGATCTCCCAGTCCTAGTATGGAAAGAACTAATAGATGCAGCCAGAAGCGTGGAAATATATCTGATCAAGATGCTGGTTCAGCATCGGCGAAACTTCCATCATCTTTATCAGTAACACCAAGTATTTCAAAGTGGTCAAATACAGCAGGCTCTCAGCCACCAGTAATACAGCAAATTGCTCCACAAGCTAGCATCATGGTACCAACAGTGCAGAGTAAACTTTTTAGTTTATGCTAGCTGTTCACTAATATAATTTCTCAATATTATCAAAGAACATCTTAGCACTAGTCATTGCTCTGATAGTAATGAATTACAATTTCCAAATAACGAAGTAGTAATTTTCAATTATATCTTTTTGTTTAGCAGCATTGACAGCAGTTGCACAAATGGGAGCTGCTGGTTTACCTCTGTCAGCACTGCCTATGCCACCAACCATTGGTCCACTTATCTGGCCGCCACCACTTCCTTCCAATTTTGTGCCTAAATCTACTTCATCCTTATCATCAACCCAAAATCGAGTGTGTTTATCATTTTAAGAGATAAATTACATAAAATGAAGTGCTGAATCTGGCCTCTTTCAGTTTTCATCATACCATTTGTTCCTTCATATTGTTATTTATATTTTCATTTTGTCCGTTTAGGATGTGGATTATCGCACTAGCCCCACTTCGCTTCTGCCAGGTGGTCCATGCACATCTAACGATATAGATTTAAGGAACCAGCAACCTTCATCCTCAGGTCAATCACAGAGTTGGCGAACAAATACTCACCAAGAAAGCAAATCAATCGCTAGCACTGATACATCACTTGGTGCATCTTCTGGAGGTATATGAAATATACTTGATGTGGTCATCTTCAATGCGAAAAATGTTCAGTCTTTCCATCCTGTGATTTAAGATATATTGCATAATGACTTTTAGGTGATGTGCGACTACATGACCCTCGAATAAGAAGAGTTGGATCTCATGTAGCCAATAATGGTAATGATGAGAGATCGGGGGGGGCAGCATCTGGAGCTCAAGTACGTGATCCTCGAAGAAGACCGCAACTTCGTGCGCAAACTGCGCAGAAACAGGTGACGGCACTTACTACATAGTAATTTAGCTTATACTTCATGCATGTAATCTTAGTCCGAACAGGCAAGAAATCCCAACTTAGTTACACTATCAAACAAGCGTGGAGCTTTGCTAGCTCAGTATATTCTTGAATGTTATCCCTGTTCATCCTATCCTTCTCTGGGAAATCCGTTATGTTCAGGACGATGAGATGAACAGTCATCTCGAGAAGAGCGCAGTTCGTCGGCGTGGTTGGATGCCAAATATGAATGAAATCGGAGATGGCAGCGCATCCAGTCAATCTACTATAACACATGACACAAAAAGTACTACAAATGATTTCAATGACCGGTTGCAACAGCACCCGCCTTTTGTACAGCAAGACTCTACAGGTGGACCTATGCGACGAGTTATAAACAGAGATCGAGATCGACGTGGTGCTTACTAGTTCTCAAATATGTGTTGGCATTTCCGTTGTTGAAGTTTGTGCGTTATTCATTTCCTGTACCTTGGAAAAATAAATTGTTTATAGTGAAAAATACGCGGGAAGCACCCCTTCGTTTTTTTGGATAGAACATCCAAAATCTCACATGTTTCATGTTTTCGCACTATTTAATTTCTACTTGATTCCCTGAAGTCTTGAATTTGGATGTTTATGCTAATAAAAAGGTGTCTCTTGTTCAAAAACCGCAAGTGCTATTTATGTGTATTTGTAGTATAGCTGCCTATGAAATCAAGATTCATGAACTGTATGTTGAGGAATGATGTAACTCGTAGTGTTGGAAGGAAGTTAGCAAACGAGGTTCATTATCCACTGATGCAGCAATAGTAGTTAACAAACTTGATACATTATGACAGATTTAGTATTCAGTGATTTTAAGCGGTCTTGGGGCTTTTTGGTGATTTTCTGCAGCTCCTCGAGGAAATACTCTGGAATGTTTAAGAGGAGTATTAAATAGTGACAAGTCCGTGTGGACGTTCTTTTGCTCTTCATCTGTAGTTACTGGATATCCCTCTTCCATAGCCATCTGCTTCGTAAGCATCACCAAACTCTGCCATAAATTATTGTTTATCTTTATAATTTTTGTAAAAATTAGCTGCAGAAGCAAAGACTATGACTGAAACACCTAAAATATCTAACTGCAAATGAGGCATAAAATATTTCCACGAAACAATACCTTAAATGATTTTGGTTCATAAATTGCAAGCTGGGAAATGACGATGTTATCGAGCAAGACATGTGCTTTCCCAAGCATAGTCCGGAATAAGGCGTAATCAAAGTGGTGTTCAGCAAGAGCAGCTTGGACTCGTTCTGCTGCGTACTAAAGTTCATAATCTAAGAATATATATGTATTGGATAATAATTAGTAATAAAAAAGTACTCTACACGGTCTCGCTCAATTATATCTTACAAAAATTAAGTCTTTACTGGAGCAGCAAGTCAAACAAAAAAGATCCTCACAAATTTTTCTAGTCTCGGCGCATCTTCACGCTGGAGACTGAGATAGGTGAACATTTTGTTTAGCTTTTGCATACCTCTTCTCACAGTAGTTCTTTGAAAGCCGTACTGCCACTAAATAGCATAGGTAATAATTTGTTTAAATACAATGATTAAAATCAGATTAATTACGACACTATTTTTGCCCGGACTTTATAATTCAAGTCACTACACAATCTTCGCTCTTACTTTATAATTTAATGGCAGCCGGATAAGTATCTCCTATTGTTAAACCTCAAAAAAATTGCTGGGTTTTTGCAGCAATACCAGTTCATGAAAACATTTAAGGCGTTAATAAACTTACTGCGACAAACCGCCGTAACTGTTCACGTTTCTGCCATACATCTGGTTTAATTTTGACTTGAAATGGGTGATATGGACTATTTATGATCCGTCGTATAAGGCTTGCTTCTGTTATCCTCATTTTCTTTGTCACTTTACCCCCTAAACATACAGGTTTATGAATTATATAGCCATTGACATTGAGATTCCTATGCTAATATACACGGCCGCATGAAATTGAGTATCATTGTAAGATGCAGACGGATGAAAAGGTTGGAAGTCCAGTGGAGTGGGTGTTGGTGGGTTGTGGACGGTTGATGATGTTGATGGAGTGTGGACGGTCGCCTTCACCTATGTACGACGAGGATAGCGACCTGTCCACTTTGTGAGTGAATCTTTTGAATATGATTCAAGTTGTTTCGTTGTGTGCTTAGAATAAACAAGATTCGGCGTGTTCACACGGTCTTTGATGTGTTTTTAGACAAGTATTAAGCCAATCAATGGATGAACCTGAACCATGTTCCTTCAATTTACGACTCATCGAAGCCGTACGAAATAGTCGTTGTCTTTATGATGCCAAAGATCGTCTATATCGTTCCACTGATCATAAAATCAAAGTGTGGAATCGACTTGTACAAATATTACAGTTTGATGGTATGCGTGGAATGCTTTTTTACATCCTTTTAATGTGTCTGCTGTGCCATTGCAGTACAACATTCGTTCTTGTAAAATGTTAATAAATTAACATTCCAGTAAAATAGATAGGTAATCATTTATTAGGTTTCTGCTAGTTGTTGGACCTGTGCGATGCTGGACATGCAAAAATGGGTTTTTTGAGTTACGAGAGAAATAAAGAGCATGACTGTGCAAATGTGTTTTTTGAATTAGCAGTGGTTTTTTCGTTTGACGCATAGACTAAAGCGATAGAAATAAATAGATGAATGATTCGCGATTCATCTAACGCAAACAAATATCGGCTGTCAGAAAATTTTCATACAGTAAGCATCTACGGAAGAATTAAATTTTAATGACGTATATATTTTATTAGTACGACAGTTTCCATCTCTTCACAGTTATCTTTAAGTGATGTCGTGTGGCTTACGAAGACCTTAAGTCCAGTTTTTAAACTGAATATCTTTTATTCCTTGCAATTTTTTGAGTGTGCTGATTATAATGCTTGGCAACCTGCGTGTTAATTTGTGGGCAGGGAATTTCGCTTGTCAACCATTTGCAAAATGACGAAGTAATATATATAAGAAAAAAGAATATTAAGATATTGAAATTTTAAGGTGATGCGCGAACACTTTATAATCGTTGGAAACAGTTACGTGATAAGTATGGGAAAGAAAAGAAAAAGTTAAAGTATGGTGCTGAGCATACAGGTTGGCAGTACTTTAAGTACTTGACCTTTTTGGATCCACATATGGTTGATCGACAACAGCAACAGTTTGCTCGAGTTAAAGGCACCAAAGGAATTATGCTTTCACCTGGAGGAGTTTGTATATCGTGTTGTTCCACTTTACTATTTACTTTAATAGTTTCAAGCATTTTTAGCTAAAAAATGAATAAAGCTCTGTAATGTGATGCAAGAAAAAAGTTGTGTAGTCATTTATTTTTAGACACCACATCATATAGTTATCAATGATCCGAATTTCTCATTGTCATTAATCCAAGAGGTTCAACAACATCCATGTTTGTATGATATTAGAGATCCGAAGTATAGGCATTCTGAATGTCGGAATCAAGCATGGGCTGAGATTATTAAATCTTTAAATTTTCCAGGTTATTTATATTTTTTGTTATGAGACTAAAAGTATACGTTTCTTCATTAATCGGAGTACAACAAGAAAACTTTTGTTAGGAGATATCAATTCAATATATAAGCAGTGGAAGAAGGTTCGTGATCGATATGTTAGGGAGAAGCGAAAGATGCGTATGTCTAATGCTAATGGTGGGGAAGTTGAAGAATCACAGTGGGATCTTTTTCCACAAATGATGTGGATCGATCCATTTCTAGATGATCGAGCTACGTATGTCCTCAATATATTAAATCTTAGTTCTTGCAAGTTGCATTTTTACGTGCTTTTCATGAACATTCATTGTGTTTTTGATGACTCTTAAGCGCGAAAAGATTTTTCTTTGACAGTAATGTCATCTAATACAGTTATTTTGTCAACTGTTCACTTATAATAAAGAATTGTAGACATTATTCAAGAAGCATTAAACGAAAACATGACAGTGAAGAGCTGTCAGAAGATGGTTATTTAGATGATGTGGCAGATTCTTCTCACAGTCAGCAGTCACAAAATCAGCCTCTTTATAGTAGTGTGCTAGTATCGGGAGAAATCGGCACTGCAAAAACTGCACAAGGTAAATATATTCTTTATTATGTGATTCTGAACCAACGGAAAAAAAATTTTTAATACGATTTATATATTTGATATCACTGTAGTACTAGGTTTTAGTTAGCTTTTGCTTTTTAGAATCATGCCTAATTCTTGATTTTATTACCCATAATTACTGCATATGCAGTTACAGCGATACATTGAGAGAAATTGGTAACACTTTTCTACTTTATTCATTCAAAAGAATAATAGCTATCTCATTCTGCAGGTACCCACAGGGACTCACAGCGAGCAATTTTTAGAGAAGGTTTATCACTGCAACAACGGGACATGATTGCGGTCGACGGTGATAAGGCATTTGCTTTAAGTGTAACTGCTGATATGCTTGCACTACCAGAACAAGCAAGAACTATTGTTAAAGCTCAGATACAAAATTGGCTTGATAATTCGAGGTTTTCACAACAGATGCAGTTTGATTCTAAGTAGTAAGCGCTATGCTATTCATTACTTGGATAAAGAGCATCCCTAATATAGTTGATATGTTTTAGAAAACAGTACATAGTAAACAAGACACCACTCCTTGGCATGTTTATGTTGTCACTGCTCATCTTTATAGTAGCTGATAGTCCGACTTTGATAATCTCAAGTGCAGGAAATACGCTACTTTTTGTTTTAAATCTTTAGTTTCTGACTAGATTATGTATCTGTTACTTATGCGATATTCCGGTAATTTATGTTCAGAATCTCTTTAATTTTCATTTAAATACTAAACATTTTTATTTCGTATATTTTGTGATCTTATCTACTTCCTGTGACAAGATATCATATTATTCCTTCCCTAACAGCCGTTGTTCTGTTGTACTTTTAAATCTCAGACATATTTCGTTTGATCAATGTAGAATAAAGCTGTTTAAAAGCATTCCTTCTCACGAACGCAAGAATTTACTTCTATTTTGGTTTAGATGTCTATGAGGTGCTTTCTAGTGTTTCCGTTACAGGTTGTTTTAGTATTAACCATAGTATTGTTTATAACTGTCTAAAAGTGCATTTTATTATTATTTTCATGGAGGAAAGTTCAGGGCCATATTTTTTATTTTGGTTGTATGTTTGCAATTTGCAGGTTTTTTACCAACACAATATATGTTCATCTCATATATTTCTTTCATACGTGAAATATTGCTCATAAAAAATATAGTATATATATGTATATATACTATATATATATATATAATAAACATTTACTAACAACTGTATTTTCTTGTATTATAGCAAAAAATTGCTAATATTTGACTTTTGTTCACCTCGTATATATGCGAGAATCTCGACATCTGTTCATTTGTGTGCTGATCACGTATCATCATTTGGTCGAAGAGTATATCGCAGTAAATTATTGCCTCATTACGAGTGAAACTAACACTCGGACAAGTGCAATAAAGAAGTTCTTTGTATTCTTAACATTTAGGGATAATTTTCTTCAGGCGCGAAGTCACTTCTAGTTATCAAGTTTGCTGGAGGAGATGAGTCTTTTTCGTTTTATTCGTTCTTTACTGGGGCGGAATACCAAGTCTGTGGTAGGTATTGGCAATGCTGGACGTATCATTTGGGTTGACTGTGAAATGACTGGACTTGATGTGAACAGTAAATCGATTGTCGAGATTGCTTGTGTTGTAACCGAGGCAGATTTGACAGTAATGTTTCCATTCCCGGTTTGCAAGTGTTTTTGAGAAGGGGTCTTCTTTTAAAGATTAGTGTTACTTTTATTTTAAGGGGGTTTTAACGAAATTAGAGTTGAGTGATTTTATAAGAATTCACAACAGCAGATCATCGAGGAAGGAGTGAGTATCGTTATATCGCAGTCACAAGATGCTCTTGAAGAAATGGATGACTGGTGCAAAACAACGTTTTCCGCTAATGGTCTTTTGCAAGAAATTTTTTCCAGTACGATTACTATGCAGGAAGCTGAAAACGAGGTTTCCGTCTGGAAGTTTATTTGTTAAATCAAAGAAGGAGATTGAAATTAAAATGATTCTATTTTTATACAGTTTGTGCACTTAAACTTGGTCGTTACGATATTTTAGTGCATATATCACTATTATTTTTTTTTTGCACATATTACTGTCATTGCTCATTTCTTCTGTGTACTGTGTGAAAGCGAAGGTATTGATGAATTTAGAAAAAAGTCAAGTTCTAAATTTTAACAAAAAGAAATAAGATTTTTGCGATCTAGGAATGGGAACAACATAGCTCCTAAAATTTCACTTTGTACTGATTATCCATCCAAATTTTAATTTTTCATTTCCTTTTTGATCACATACTGCTGAATACGATAATTGTAAGCACAAACTGGTTCTATTTAGGTACTAACATATGTTAGGCGTCATACCAGCTCCAATGTCTGTCCTCTTGCTGGTAATTCTGTTGGTATAGATCGAATTTTTCTTCAGAAATTCATGCCTACATTTGCCAATCACTTACATTACCGAACCATCGATGTTTCATCTGTAAAAGAGGTAATGTTACTTTGTAAATGAGGGCAGAACGGCAAAAACTTCCGATCATTGATGTAAAAGGAAATCAGATGCTACTCGCTTCCATTGGCCATTGTTTATACTTACAGGTCGTATTTATCCAGTTTTTGGCATATTTCAGTTAGTACGCAGATGGTACCCATGGTTAATCACAAGCATACCACAAAAGCAGTGTGAACATCGAGCACTTGATGATATTTATGAAAGTATAAAAGAACTCCAGTGGTATAAAAAGAATATCTTCATTCCATAATTAGTACCGCATTCTCCTATTGATGACTATAAATGCTTTATAAGTACAAAATGGAAGAAGAGATATTATTTGTTCACTTTTTTTTTCTCTATAAAAAACGAAGGCCTGATTTGTTTAGTGTATTTCAATTGATGTCATGGTACTTGCAATTGTAATATGATACATATATCGTCAGTACATGGTAACTGTAACATACAACCGTACGCGGTTAAAATAAAAGCAGCGAATATATTCACATTAATGATGAGTTTTTGCATTTGGGATAACATGTAATGTGTTACTCTCAAATCTATAAATTTGGTGGCATGTCGCTGAGAAATTACTCAAATAGAGATTGGCGATCTTGGGTGGTGCGGTCTATCTTGTCTCTACGATCGTATAAACCTTCTGAGGTTACTGGAATTTCTGCATAGGAACGAATTAGTAACATACTTGCACCAGATGTGTGGTATTTCCCACCTTATCCCAAATATTGACCATACTTGTAATACCACTCACGACTGTTCTTGTTTTTCTATTTAATACGGGTTTTTCGCTAATACTTGACAACTAGACTGTACATATGGAGTGTTAAGAAGTATTACGTCTCAATGTAAATGAGAACTATTCAAACACTTAGATTGTATTTGTTACCACTATGAAACATAAGGTTCGCCAAGTAGTGCACATCATTCTCCACCAAGTATGGGACTATGGAGTCGCGAAAGTTACTTACGCAATTTGTCGCCCGACCTTCATACTAGTTGAGCGGGAGACGGGGAGGAGTCTTGATTGGTAGTACTAGTACAAGTATGGTGGATGTGTGGATGTGGCTGGTAGTTTCCTGTGGAGCTCATTAAGTACATGCTGAAGCATTTTGTTTTGAGTTTAATTTGCCTTGTTTTTTAATTTCAGGAAGAAGAAATATTAGTTGGCCTTTGGTAGTTTTAAGTCAGCGCTGATAATGCCATTGGACTATTCCAAATGGAAAACAATTGAAGTGTCGGATGATGAAGATGACACTCATCCGAATATCGATACACCTTCACTATTCCGTTGGCGTCATCAAGCGCGCTTGGAACGTATGGCCGAACGAAAACTGGAAAAGGAAAAACTCATGGAGGGCAAATCGAATGTAGAGAAACGTATTATGGTAAAGTACTGTCGTATTCTGCTTACGGTTTTTCGGTATTGATTTCAGCAGCTAATTGGTGAAATATGCGTTAAGAATTTTGTAAGCATTTCTAGGAGGTCCAGGAAAAACTGATGAATAGTAAATTGGAGGACAAGGAACGAATGAAGTTAGAACTTGAGATTGAGGAAGTAAAAAAGCAGGAAGAGGAATATCTAAAAAAAGAAAAAGAACTGGAAGAGAAGGAAAGACTGGAGCCATGGAACGTGGATACCATCGGTCATGAAGCTTTCAGTAAATCGGTCATTTCTTCTACCATTTTTATGTTGATCATTAATGACACTTGTGGAACTTAAAATACAGCGCATTGTATTTCTATTTCCTACATTTATTTTCAGCGTATCAACAAGATAGGTGACAAAAAGTATGAACCGCCCAAGTTGTCAGAGGAAGAAGAGAGTAGACGCATGGTAAGTTAGACTTTGATGCTTAGTGGACGTCATTTTTCTTCCAGTGCTTCTGTAATAAAGTAGGTTGCAGTCGGATTTCTTCGTCAAGAATGATAAGTTACTGAAAGAATTTGGAGCAATGCATGGGTTGGAAGAGTCGGAGAAATTTTTGCTGGAATATCCTCATTTGGCATCTGATTTTACGGCTAGCTGGCTTACCATTCAGGCGCTCAATCTTGCTATGGAGTTTGAGGTTAGCATGAATGTTTTTACGATCAGACGATCCACTGTTCCTCGATGAAGATAGGAGTTTTATGATTCTGATTAGTGTGCATAGATTTCAGGATAAGGTGATGCGTGTCATGGCGGAACAATGTATTCTCATCCAGTACTTGCTCGAGTTATCGAAAAGTCTTCATGCACTTGCGACCAACACTAATGTCATCAAAAACTTTTTCAAAAAGTAAATCTGTATTGGCACGTGTACTTTTCTCTCAAAGTAGTTATTATGTTTAAAGTTGTGGGTTATCTGTTTTATTTGAAGTGTCGCTTTATCTCTGTGGTTCGCATAGATGTAACCTAATCACTTTTGATTTGAGGTTTCGTGCTGCCGATCCAACTTACGCAAAAATGTTTCATCAGGAAGTAGATTCTTTCTGCGACAGGCTTCGTAAAAGGGGTAGAGATAAGCGTGACGCTGCTATAGCTGAATATGAAGCAGAGGAAAAGGCGAAGCGTATCGCTGCGTCGCCAGGTGGTTTAGACCCTCAGGAAGTTTACGAAAGCTTGCCAGAGGTAATTTTTATTCACATGACATGTTCTCATATATTGGTGCGTGAAAAACCCAGATTCAATTTAACTTGGTCAAAAAATTACTTCGATCCAAAACACTTGTTTCAGGAAATGAAAGCAGCTTTCGACTGCCAAGAAGTGTCGCGTCTACAGGAGGTTGCGCAAAAAATGGATCACGAAGTCTTCGCATACCACTTACAACGTTGCATTGATTGTGGTTTGTGGATTCCAGATGCGAATGCTGCTAAGGAAGAAACCTCCAAGTGAAAGATTTTGAAATGAATTTTAAATGGAATTTTTCTGAATGTAACACGGACAATAACAATTATTTCTATCTATTAAAATCTATTCCAACATGGGTCTCATTATTGAAAGTTAAATTGAATTATAGGAGGTATTAGCTATAATTTTTATTTTGATTCTCAGTAAGTGAACAGTGTCAACTGAATAATGTTTGTTCAGATTTGTGTAGGACGTGTTACATTCTGAATTCCATTTACTATGTAACCTTTTATGCTGTATTTAATGTGACCATTTACTTTATGGATATTTAGTTTAATTTGTTTGTCAATATTTGGAAGACTTATACAGAACATGGCTTGTTTAAAAACACACGCGAGCTGAGGTGGAGGCTTGTAATAGCACATATAGGAAGTTACAAATACTGATATACGCTTCACTTCCTTGTCTGGTTTCGGGAAGCTAAGAATGATTTATGTGTATCATTTATGCGATACAAAGATGTGCTCTTGCCAAAACACTGCAAGCAGAACTTCGAACGTGATTGGAATGGGCATTGCAGTTCACCTCCAAGGGAAGGTGTTCTCATCCTTGTGATAAGATCTTCGTGCCAAAATTATGTAAGGCTTGACTTCAGGATAATGGTTTACGATCTCCTTTTGAGTGGTACTGTTAGCGGTCTAGTGCACCACGGGGGCAAGACTGCTCATTATTAGGTACTCGGAAAATCTGATGAACAGTTGAAGTATCTAAACTTCATGATTCGGAGATATCGGCCAATTATAATTATCACAGTGGTTGTAGGAAATCTTATATTAAATGATGAGAAACAGCTGAAGGCGAAGCTGATTTTTCAGAATTGTGGGTGTATTCAACTTACTATGCTTCTCGCCAAACACAGTTCAAACCTAGCTATAAATATGAGGATAAGACAAGTGACAGATCATGATTAAAACACTTTTTGAAAGCGCATTTACAGTTTCAAAAGCGTTTACACAACTTCGTACTTCTATCTTTATCTGAAAAGATGATCAATTTACAAATGCATTTAATTTGACCCACACATCCTGCCATCAACATTCAACACTTATTTACATACATACTCTGCTACTTCTGCAATCACAGTAACAATAGTGGCAAATCGCAGACAAGAGGCCATTTCATCTTTTTTATATTTTTTTCAAGGATGTCGTATGCCTAAAAGTCGACATCTACCATCATCTCGAATCGCTGCTTTTAAGTTGCTGTAATCCATAATCTTTAGCGACTAGTTGTGGAGTACTGTGCTTGCAACGATTCTCAAGAATAATCTTTTCTAAGTTCAACGCAGGTAATTCCGCAAGCATTGCACAAATGATGCCAAAAACATATGATAATGTAAGCTGGGCAATGCAGTGCGCAAAAATAGGCCATTTTGTTGTATACACAATTGGAAACGGCACCAAAAGATAAGTAAACACTACGAGCACCATATGCACCAAATATACCTAAAATATCTCAAAATCAACGAGTCCATTTTATTCACCAGAACATTGATACAGAATGAGTTCAAATGCATATGATGAGTAAAACTCGATTTTAAATATTAAGAATATATAAAACTCAGTTCAATCGGTATAAAGCATTGTAAGTTTCATAAATATTCTTTAACCGCAAAATATCTCAATGGCCGAGATTTGCAGTTCGACAGCGAAAGTTAACATGTTCTGAAGCCATGTAAAAAAATGAGGGCAATATGGATATAAAATGATTGAATAAATTTTAAAACTTGCCGAATAACACAATGAAGATAATGGTATAAGTATATTCATACTAAGAAGTGTATTAATAATCCCACCAATACCAGTATGACAAGCATAAATAAGCCAAGCCATGGCTAGAGCAAACACTGTTCGATGGCTACCGCCATAAAGAAGATGATATACCGGCCAGTCCCAACCCTTAAAATATATCAAACATTTCTAGCCGTACAAAATGTCAATTACTATCTGGTCGATAGAGATCTCTGATAAGTCTACTTGATATTTTTATTAGAACTACGCAATTTCATTTTTTTCAGTGCAAATGATTTTGCTAACAGTATTAAAGGATTCAAAAAACAATTAGATTTCGATCAACTCAATTAGTTTAAATAACATTTGATGGGATAAATGTTCAAAAACTAGTTAACTTTTTGTTAATGAATAAAATAAGTAGATACACGTTAATATATCTTATTTGAAAAGCCAAAAGTGCAGAAATTTTTATATGTACATTAATTACAGTCTCAATACCCCAATTATTTAAAAAAATATAGTCGTGAAGAAACGATAATGAAAGTGTTTTTTGCTGGTGAAAATGGTATCTATTGAAACAAGCTTATTAAAAGCGCATATATAAATCAATATCATACGAGGTTTATTATTATAATATATATATA